TATTTCTTGCTTGCATAGTGAACATATTTTCTTTTAATGTTTTTATTTTGCTTCTCTTCTTTAGGTTGTCTTTCACTTTTGTGTATTTGCATTTCCAATTTGTTATTCTCTCTTTTGCTTCTTTGATAAGGCTTCCTTATCATTGCAGATTCAAGTTTTGGCTCATTATTTTTGATGTATGTTCTCATATTACTTGTCTCTCATTTAAACAATTCAGGAAAAGGGTAGCTAGGTAGTGCAGTGGATAGAGCACTGGCCCTGGAGTCGGGAGGACCTGAGTTCAGTTCTGGCATCAGACACTTACTAGTTGTGCAAGTCACTTAACACTGATTGCCTTTTAAAAAATCTGTAATAGTATGTTATGGTTCCAGGTTCTCCCGAACTTCCATAGAACTTCACATGTTGTATCATTATCCTTCATTTTGCATTATTTACTTGTAGATGCCTGAACTCATTTGCTACATCTGGTGGCCATATTTCCTTTTGTTGTTACTGTTTTTCCTGTTGGTTTATCTGTGTATAGTCAAAGTTTAAGATTTCTTCTTCCTGGAATCTTTGGTACTTTCAGTCTTACCCTCCCCCCCTTATTTTCCTTATTATCCACTTCTGATTCCCTCCCTTTCTATTGAGGTTTCCTTGGGGTGGGCTTAAAGCATCTCAGCCTTCCCCCACATTGGGTGATTCATAGTTCATCCTCCCAGGTCTCTGCCCCAACTGATCTTTGAGTGGCTAGAACTGGCCCCACCTGGATGCTTTTATTACCTCAGGCTTGGTGGAGTGCTGCACAGTTCCCCACTAGCAGTGCCCTGTCCTAGAGATCTGTCCCACTCCCTCTCTTCCTTAGTTCTTTGGCCTTGCACCAGGGTCTCTAGGGCACTGGAAAGAGGTATGGGGAGACTGAAATTTAGGACTGGGTTTTGATGTAAACCTATGTTGTATCCTTGGGTCTGTTAGTGCAGCCTCACTGCTGGTGGTGTAGGAGGTGGGGGAGGAGGAAGTGTCAGGTGAACTTAGGTTCAATGAGTGTCAGTTCCTGAGTTTTAAGGATTTTTTAACTTTCTTTTGGATTCTTGGTGTCCTAGACCGTGGAATCAGCTACAATTGCTTTATCTTTGGAGCATAATTTCTGTTCTGGGGAGGTCTGAGTGAGGACTCATGGAGGTTGGAGAGAATGTCTGGTCTGCCATCTTGTTGCTCACTAGCTAATCACTCTAGTTTATGTCACGGGAGTATGCACAATAAGGCCGGAAAGACAGGTTGGGGCTTTAGAGATTTAAATACCAAAGAGAGGAGTCTGTATTTTATCCTGGAGTTAACAGGAAACCCCTGTAATTTATTGAGTAGGAAAGTGATACAGTCAGATTTATACTTTAGGAAAATCAGTTTGGAACCTATTTGAAAATAAATTGGAAAGAGGGAGAGACTTGAAGCAGGGAGACCATTAGGAAGCCATTTCAGTAGTTGAAGAGGGAGGTGACAAGGACCTGAACTTGGGTGGTGCTTTGTGAGTGAAGAAAAGGAGATGGATGCAAGAGATATTGTGGCGATAAACTATTTGGATATATTATGAAGTAAGAGAGGAATTGAGCATGACGCTAAAGTTACAATCCTAGATGGATGGTGGTGCCTTTGATAGAAATATGGAGTTTCAGAAGAGGAATAAGTTTTGGAGAAAAGATAAAGAAATCAGTTTTTGACATGTTGAGTTTGGATTGTCTATGGAACATTTCATGTAAAATATCTAGGAGCAATTGATTTGGGACTGGACCTAAGGAGAAAGACTAGAGCTGTATATATATAGATTTTTGTAGTCAAACTCATAGAGGTAAAAATTAAACCCATGCTAAGCTACTTTACAAATAGGAAAGAAGGAAAGTGAAAGGGAAAGAAGAAAGGGAAAGATACACCTGACTGAATGCAGAATTCTAGAGAATAGCAAGGAGAGATAAAAAAAAGTTTTCTTAAAGGAGCAATGCAAAAAAAATAGAAGAAAACAATAGAATGGGAAAGACAAGAGAACTTGGAATATGACATTCTAGAAGGTAAAGGATCTAGGATTAAAACAAAGAATCACCTACCCAGCAAAACTTGAGTATAATCCTTTAGGGGGAAAATTGATAGTCAACTGAAATAGAAGACTTCTAAGCATTCCCGGTGAAAAGACCAAGGCTGAATAGAAAGTTTGACTTTCAAATACAAGGCTCTCAAGAGAAGCATAAAAAGGTAAACAGGAAAGAGAAATCATAATGGATTCAATAAGGTTAAACTTTTTACATTCCTATGTGGGAAAATGATACTTGTAATTCCTAAAGACATTCTTATTATTAAGGCAGTGAGAAAGTGAATACATAGAGGGCACAGGTGTGAGTTGAATATGATGGGATGATTATCAAAAAAAAAATAAGAGGGAGGAAAAATAATGCTCTGGGAGAAGGGGAAAGGGAGAGGTAGAATGGGGTTAAATTATCTGACAAAAGAGGAACAAAAGAGATTTTATGGTGGAGAGGAAGATGGGGTGGGGGTAGTGGCGGGGAACACACAACCTTACTTTCATTGAAATTGGCTCAAAGAGGGAATAACATACACACTTAGTTGAGTGTAGAAATCTATCTTACCATACAGGAAAGTAGTAGGAGAAGGGTGTAAGAGAATAAGAGAAGGTAGGGGGTGGGGAGCTATTGAAGGGAGGATGGATTGGGGAAGATAAAAGTCAGAAGCAAAACACTTTTCAGAATGGACAGGGTGAAAGGAGAGAGAGATGGGGAAATAGGATGGAGGGAAATACATAGTAATTATTACTGTGAAAAAAATTTACAGCCAGTTTTTCTGATATAGACCTCATTTCTCAAATATTTAACAAACTGAGTAAAATTTATAGAAGTAAGAGCCATTCCTCAATTGATAAATGGTCAAAGGATGTGAACAGGCAATTTTCAAACAAAGAAATCAAAGCTATCTATAGTCATATAAAAAAATGCTCTAAATCATTTTTGATTAGAGAATTACAAATTAGATTGGCTAATATGACAGAAAAGGAGAATGACAAATGTTGAAGGGAATGTGGGAAAATTAAGACACTAATGCACATTGGTGAAGTTGTATGCTGATTCAGCCATTCTGTAGGAATTTGGAATTTGGAATTATGCCCAAAGGGCTATAAAACCATTCATACTCCATAAAAGCAATACTACTACTAGGTCTGTATCCCAAAGAGGTTAAAAAACAACAACAAATAGTAAAAGGACTTACATGTACAAAAACATTTATAATGGCTCTTTTTGTGGTGGCAAATAATTGGAAATTGAGGTGATGTCCATCAATTGGGGAATGGCTGAAGAATTTGCTGTATATGATTGTGATGGAATACTAATGTGCTATAAGAAATGATACTTTGAGAAAAACCTGGAAAAACTTACATGCACTGATGCAAAGTAAAATGAGCAGAACCAGGAGAACATTGTATACAGGAAGAGCAATGTTGTATGATGATCAACTGTGAATAACTTAGCTATTCTTAGCAATACAATACAGTCAAGACAATTTGGAAGGACTTATGATAAAAAGTGCTATCCATTTCCAGAGAAAAAATTGATGGAGTCAATGCAGATTGAAGCATGTTTTTTCTTGACTTCATTTTTCTTGTTAATTTTTTTTTTGTTCTGTGTTTTTTCACAGCATCACTTACATGGAAATATGTTTTTCATGATTGCCTATGTATAACCTATGTCAAATTGCTTGCCTTCTCAGTGAGGTGGGGAGAGGAGGAAGGGGGAGGCAAAATAATTTGGAACTCAAAATTTGAAAAAAACTTAAGATCGTTTTTACATTTAATTGGGGAAAATAAATTATTTAATTTTTAAAAGAAGAGTGATCAGTGTCATGAGAGTATATAGCAGAAAAGTAATTAATAGTATAAAATGCTGCAGAGGTTCAAGATGAATAAGGACTGAGAAAGTCCCATTAGGGTATTTGGTAATTAAGAGATCATTATTGATTTTGGAAAAGGCAGTTTCAGTTGAGTGATTAATGCCTGAAGTCAGATTGTGGAAGGTTTAAATAAAAGTGAAGCAATTTCTTTGAGGAATTTAGTTAAGAAAGAGATTAGGATCATAGAGCTGACCTCAGAAGCCATCTTATCCAACTTTTCCATATTATAGATAAGAAAAATAATGCTCTATGAAATTGTGGCTTGCCCAAAGTTACATGGAAAGTAACAGGATTCAAAACTAAATCCTTTGATTATGAAGTTAGTGCTCTTTCCCTGATACCATACTGGGGTGAATGTGCATATTTTTTCTAATATTTATATATAAATGAATAAGTGAAAAGATAATTTTATATGCTTACTATGTATGAGGAACTGTCCTAAGGCAGGTTAGGGCTAGGTTGTGAAGAGATTAAATGCCAGAGAGAAGTCTATATGTGATCCTGTGCTAAGGTGCTAGGGATACAAATAAATACAAGCAAGCAAGACAGTCCCTGATATAAAGGAACTTACATCTGCAAGGGGGTAGCATATGTGGCATGGTTTGAAAATGTCCAGGAGGTGAAATGGTTCCCTGGTATTGAGTGAAATAAAGCAAAAGCTCACCTTTCAGAGCCCAGAGTCCCAGGTGGTGGAGTTTGCATTCCAGTGGAAAGGGGATGAGGAGGATGGACAGAGTGTAGGTGACATGGTTTGGAAATGGCCTGGAAATGTCTGTGTTTCTAAATAAATCATTTAAGTCATCATTGAATTAATATTAGTTATAAGAATATTTAGTAATTTTATATTGCTTATTTGGAAATTCCAGTTGGTTCTTTTCATATGCAAATGATAAAGAATTTATTACCTCTCAAAAATGTGTACATTAGATTTATATAACATGATTTACATATAGACCCAGCTTAATTTTACTAATATTTTTAATTAAAGCATATATGTTAAGTTTTTAAGGTGTTGTATCTCCTTTTACAATTGTTAATGCCCATCTAATTTCACGAAAATGCTTTTTTCTTAGTTCCATTAGCAATTTCAGACACCTTACCAGTAATTGAAAACAAATTTTCACATCGTTTTCCTTTTATACATCTGTTCAGAAAAAGTTTGCCACCAAAGGTAAGACAGAATTTAGAAATAATTAATTAGGAATATTTAGATTTGGTAAATCTATTGTAGAATGTTTTACTTATTGGAGTTACAATACACTCTTAAAATATTACATTAAAAAAGTTGTTTTTAGCAATGATCTTTAGTTTGAAAGTTGAAACGTTCTTCTTTTAAATTTTTAACTAGTAATTTATAATTCTCTAGCAATGTATTATATTATAATGTCCTGTCACAGAATGTCATTTTTTATAAATTGCCTTTTTAATTTTTTTATAAATTACTCATTGTTCATTTAAATCATTCTTATAAGGTAAGGTTTTACATACTTCAATGTGGTTCATATGTATTAGCATAAAGTTCCTTTTCATTAAATATTCTTTTACCACACTTTTCCCCAGCTATAGATGTTCGTTTTTACATTTCATTATAATAGCTTTGTGTGTCAAACTAATAGTCATTTGGGATGCTGTCATAATCTTTTGCCTCATAAAAACAGTAGTTGAAAAATCATGTCTATATCAACCCATGCAACTATAAATTAAATCTCATATAACTTGCCCTATAAAGAGGAAAAACATGCAAGTTATACAATCCTAAAGACAGCACAGTTATGAACCCTAGAAAACAAGATGCATTTTCCCTGACTTTTTTTTTCTCAGCTTTTCTGTCATGCTCTCATTTCATCAATAAAAAATGCTGACAGACCAGTCATTATTCCTTTGCCTTTTGGTATTAGAGCCCAGGCTGATAGCCAGCAGAGGCAGAGAAACAAATGGATGCAATGCCAATACTTGAGCTAATAAATGAACTCAGCTCACAGCTGCATCTGCTAACTGCCTATGTGCCCCTGGTTAACGTCAACCTTGTTTCCCTTTCCAGCATCATGGAGCTTTTCAGCAGACAGATATAAAACCAGTCAGAGGACCAATAGTTCCTAAGGGAACAGAAGTATTCCAAAGTGCTCCAGGGTCATGCTTACCAGAGCAGTCAAAAACAGAGAGAGGAAACTCAACGACAAGTACAGAGACCTCATCCAGTCCCTGCCAACCCGAAAGGTCATCAATTTCTGAATGTCACTTATCAGAAACAGACGTCAAAGAGGCAACCAAAGCATACCTCACAGCAAACAAAAGAGTCCAGGAATTTCTGGGACAGCTAAAGTAAATTTTATCCTTCCTACCAAGGAGGAGCCTTTATATCCACCAATCAAACAGAGTTTTTGAAAAATCAGCAGATAGGTTACCCACAACAAATAACACAGTCACTGATACTCCCATTAGTTCCTGAAATGGAAAGAATCTAAATTCACTATACTGACAGCTGTTTGCTTTTCTAGTACCAATAACCAAAAATACAAGCTGACCCCAGCTTATTTTTAGAGAGAACGTGGTACTCCTTTGTCTAAAAAATAATAGTGTCATACTTTGTTTTCTGAAAAACCTAGACGCTGCAAGGATTGTAGAGGAATTTGATTGCTGTTTCCTTCAACTACTTTGTTTACATTTTGAGATCAGACATTTTGGGTAACAATTCCACTGAAGTTAAAATTAGGACACCTAGCTTAGTGATAATGGCAAAACCCCTTAACTTCTCCAGATCTTTCTTGTCTTTAGAAATATGATAAGAATATTTATGCTATTCCTCTCACCTCTGAGAGAATACTGTGGGGGAAGCACTTTGTAAACTATAAAGTGCTATATAAATATGAGCTATGATTGTGAATAGCTGTTTTAATATTAGAATGATAATGAAATATATCCACTGTTCACCTGCAGATGGAGAACTGATGGACTCAGTACAAATTGAAGCATATTTTCTTCTTTTTCTTTTTCCTTTTTTTTTTAACATGACTAACATAAGAATTTGTTTTGTATGACTATACATACCTTGTAACAAGTACTGTTTTTTCTTGCCTTCTCAATGGGTAGAGGAAAAGGAAGAGAATTCAGAACTGAAAATAAAATTGAAAATGCATAAAAGAAAATGTGTTTTTTAAAAAAGAATACTATCTCAATCCTTTCTTATGGCTACATGTGATAAAACTAATAATTAACAAGAGAATCACCCCTCATAAAAAGATGAAACCATAACATACAAAATCATGTCATTTTTTTCAAAAGCCAGTTACTATGAATCCACCATTTCATAGTTTTGATGTCTAACATGTTCTCTTAGTAGTAATATTTATTATTACCTTGAAGATAAAAATGGTTTCACACAGTGCTTTAACATACCAGATTTACCTCAAGCTCCCACTGAACACAAGTTCATTATTTGAAAAATATGTCAAAAGGCAATTTCAGTAATATAAGCAGTTGTAATACAGAAATTGTTGTATTTCTTTTCATTTGGCTAATGATATTGCTCTAGATAATACAGTGTTAGAAATGAGTTCCTGTCCATAAATTTCTAATAAATTCATTGGAGTCATACTTACATTTCTTTCGCCAGCTATGTTTAGTTATTTGTTTTAATTAAGGTCCCTATAGTTCATTACAATCATTATTACCTAACAAGAAGAACTAATGTTCTTAAATTTCATAATTACTTGTGAATTTTGCATAGTATATAGGGATCTTAGGGCTCTCAGGCTCCACCTAATTTCATTTAAGGGGCAGGTAGGTGGCACAATGGATGAAGTCCTGGACCTGGAAGCAGGAAGACCCGTGTTCAAATCTGGATTCAGACACTTATTAGCTATGTGACCCTGGGCAAGTCACTTAACTCTATTTTACCTCATTTTTCTCATTTATGAAATGAGGTGGATAAGGAAATGGCAGACCATTCCTGTGTCTTTGCCAAGAATATGCCAAAAAGGAGTCAGGAAGAGTCGGATTCAAGTTAAAATGACTAAACAACAACAACCTCATTTAAATATTCATAAAATAATAGCTTTCAACAAGTTAGACAATATTGAAGAAACTAAGAAAATATTTTTAGGCACATACCTCAAAGAGGTAAACTATAATAAATTATTTCTCTTACTAAACTATTAAATCTTTAATAAAAGAATTTGTCCCTGTATCTCCCTCAGTACCTAGTAATACTCATAGTACATACTCTAAAAACATTTGTTGAATGAATGGTACAAGTATAAGCAGAATCTCAATTAATGAATATGCTAATGGCCTCTAGCCCTAGCATTACCAATTAAATAACATTTTAACTTCACCTGCCTTTGTACTCTGCAAAACATTTTCACAGTACTTATTTCCATTTATCCTCTCAAACATCGCTATAAAACAGGATAAGTTTTAATATCCCTATTTTATGAAAAACCAGTAAATAGATTCATGCAGTTAAAGAACTTTCCCAAAATCATACAGCTAGGTTATAGAAGAACCAGGACTAGAACCCGGTTCCCCTGACATCTAGTCCAGGAGAATGGTTCAGAAAGAAAGTTTGTAAGGATAATTACTCCTATTTATGCATGCTCCAGTAACTTTACATCCCCCTCAGTCCAATCTCCACCCCACTTTACCCCCCAGTCTCCTACTCTAAAGCTCTCTACTGATTTCACTATTCTCAAACCCTCACTTCTCTCCCAGGCCGCCATTCAGGCACTAGCTATACTCTCCTCCCTTCCCCATCTTAACCTCCTTGTGAACCAGTTCAACTCTATTCTTGCCCTCTTCTTTCAAATCCCTTTCTCCATTATCCTATCACCAGTCTTTCCCTACCAAAGCTCAACTGAGGCTAACTTCGAACATTCACTCCTATTCATGTAATGCTGAATGAAGCTGGAGAAAATCGTGAAATTGTGCTGACTGAATACACTAGAAATTTATGTTACATAATCTCAACTGGGTCCTCATTGCAGCAAGGCAATCCTTTTACACATCCCTCATTGACCCATCTTTTTTCTCAGGCTATCTTCACTGGCTTTCCTCCTTGCTTGGAATTTTCTCCCTCCTCCTGGCTTTCTTCATATGCCAGCTAAAATCCCAACTTCTACAAGAAGCCATTCCTTATCCTCAATGCTAGTCCCTTCTCTCTACTGATTATCTCCAGTATTTTCTGTATATATCTTGTTTGTACGTGGCTGTTTCCATGTTATCTTTATGTCATTGAATTGTGAGCTCCTTAAGAGGGAAGATTCTTACTGGCCTTTTTTTGTATCCCCAGAACTTAATATAGTGTCTGGCACATAGTAAGCATTAATAAATGCTTATTGATTGAGCCTATATCCGATTTGAACACTGTCTGGGGCAGGGGGAGGAAATGGGAGAGGGAAAAACTTAAAACTCAAAATCTTATGGAAGTGAATGTTGAAAGCTAAAAATAAATGTTTTTTAACAATAAAAAAGATGCTTATTGACTTGATATGACTAAAGTAATACACTGTCAGGATTGTTTGTGTAACCCATGACTCGGTAGCTCCTAAGACAATGGATTCACAAGGATCAGATTGAATCCTGGAGGCTTGCCCCCAAAGGGTAATTTTTTTCTCTTTTATTTAAGTACCCTCCTTGGAGTTTTACTCTAAGGAAATCTCCAAAATAAAGCTTATATATTACTCGTTTCTTATGTTCCCAAAAGACGGACCCATGGGTATAATGTGAGTCAGCCTTTATTTCACTTACCACCAAATATGCATAAGATGCAAAGGATTCACAGGAGCCCAGGAACAAATGCAGAAAAATAAAACACTCAAAGAGCCCATCAGACTTCCCACTTATCCAGCACCCTTCCCCTTCAAAGTAAACATACTTTGTAGATCTGATGAACAGTCTCCTCATGCTGAACCTGCACTGGATGAGAAACTTATAGTGATAACAAGAACTATCAGGAAATGATAACTTCCATTCAGATTAACTACAGAATATATAAAATATCTGCGAGTAAACATTAAGACATTCATTTGAATCAGAGTTGGCAAGATTAGGGTCTCTTTACTCCCCCCCACATTTCCATCCTCACTGTCATCATTATCAAAATGATAAGCAAAAATTGACCCAGGAAGGGGGAATACTGGTGATGCTGGGTGAAGGAGATAACTATCAAATGCAAAAAGTGAGGGAGACTGAAGAAATCAGTATATTCTTCATGACAGATGTTTAAATCTATTGGGGAAATTACAGTTTTTTATTACAAGAAAAAAAATAGCAATAAGTACTGTTCTTGTAATAAAATTAGCTTTTAAAAAACACTTTGTAAATGTATTTTTTAAGTGTCTTTTCCACATATATCTTGTGATTATGTAAAAGACATCCATTGAACTCTTGACTTTTAGTCTCCACCAGGTTCTGTGATTTTCCTACATAACACATTTCTTGGTTCTAGTACATTTATGGACCAAAAATAATCAAATACTCTATAAATTGATGCCAAATTTCTCTACAATTATTAAATTATACACCTGATCCATATATTAAGTCAAAGTATGTAAATTAAATTAAAAGTGCAGAAGTACTTCTAAATTGGAGTCCCTGTGATGGAAAAGGCTATTTTTAAGCAAATAGTTGCTCCATGCTTTCCATTAGATTAACCCAGTACAATAGCTGAAGTCTAATGCAATATATGTACTAATAAGAAAAACACATAATAAAATAACTCCATCTTCAAGTAACCAAGGAGAAAATTTTTATAACTGAAAATAATATATTAAAGTCTATGAAATCTTATTTTTTCTTTTAAGCTTCATAGGAGATGAATTTCCAGATTACAAATGAATGGATGGATGGATGAAAAAGCCTTTATTAAGTCCTTACTATTTGCAAGGCACTGTGCTAAGTGCTTCAGATACAAATAGAAAAGCAAGACAGTACTTAGGGGGACAGAACACAGGACAGTGTACAGCAGGACCAATGAAAAAGATCAGTGGTCCTTAGGGTAAAGTTTGCAAGATAGCTGGTGATGCATCTTTAGTGTCATTTCTTTTGATCAAACCCTATTTCTGATGCTGAACCATTTGTTAGTGTCAAGAATTTTGAAGGCAAAAATTTTCTTGTCTGTATCTTTAATTGTTGTGACGGATAAAAAGACAAGCACTCTAACACCCGGAGGGGGAGCTCCAAGGTCAAGTCTCCACAAGGGTTGATCTCCCTTTCAAGATACCTGAGGGGGCCAGGCTCTAAGTAAAGCCTGTGGAATGCTGCTATTCCTGGGACTCAAGTTATGATTTTCTACAGGGCAAATACATGTCCTTTGTCATGAAAACTTGGAAGCAAATTATGATCACAAGTGTGTTGGGTTGTTAGAAGTTTCTGATACATAACAGATTATGACTTATTTGTACATGGCATTTTGCACTTACAAATCATTTTCAGTTACATTAATCAAACTATTCAACAAGTATCTGTTATATATAAAGTTGCACATGGATCACATGCCAGTGGACCTGTGAATTCATTCTCTCTAGGGAAGCAAATTGCCACCTTCCTTATATACCCATCCTATGAAACTGGACCAAATCTTCCCAAAAGTTCATCACAAGAGGTCCACCCAAAGTGCTAAGAGCCTTCCTATATTGTCTTGACATCATGAGGATGCCAATAGAGGCTGGAGTTTTTCATTGATTATCCTTTGTTCTCACTTTGTGACTGGTCCATCTTCGTTTTTCATCAGATATTTCTGTGATGCCTCCTTCATGCTGCTTATATGAAATTCCTTGCTTGATCACGTGTCATAGCCATGGGGACTCTTAAAAAGTATGAAACACAATTCCCATCCTCAAGGAGTTTACAGTGCAGTTGGGAAGAGAAACATCCACATAAAAACGGTGACTAAAATTTAAAATCGAAGTAGAGGGGTAGAGTCCAGACCTGTGAATTCATTGTTATTGTAACTCTCCTTGTCTGTAATTTACGGTCTTAACCAGTTGCACCTAACGTTTAGAGTTTAAGTGATTTATCCATGGTCATGAAGCTAATGTGTATGAGAAGCAAGATATAACCTAGGTCTTTCTGACCTCCAGACTAGCAGTCATCCCTGTAATACCACACTCTTTCAACTAATAATATATGGCATTATATGATAAATGAGTATTACCAATGGGAATTGTAAGAGTGCATAGAATTTTATAGCTAGGAAGGATTTTTGAGATCATTTTATAGGCAATCATTTAAAAGATGAGAACCAGATAGGGGTGGTGACTTGGCCAAGGTCACACAGGCTTGTCCACACAATGGAGCTGGATTAGGACAATATATAGAAAGACTAGACTATCTTTTTTTCTTGATTCTTTTTTTCTTTCTGAGTACAATTTTGGGGCCATGATGTTGTCAAGTCAGTCAGTCAACAAGCATTTATTAAGCTCTTATTATGTAGTAATGACTGGGAATACAAATATAAGCAAAAATGAAAGGCTTTCTCTGCCCTCAAAGAGCTTATGTTCTAATGGAGGAAGACAATACATAAAAGGAAGCTGAAAAAGAGATAAGGCAGAGAAAGTGCCTAGCACAGGATGATGGAGAGCTCTGCAGTAGTCTAGCCTAGTGGGAAATGAAGGGATGGTTGGTCTCAGTGCCCTCCTTAAATGAAGGTTCTGGGAAAAGCCTTCCAATCAGAATGAGGGGCCTCAGGGGCAAAGGGTACTTCAAGGGTAAATAAAGATCTAGGCAATAAGAAACTGACCAATTTGCCAGTTAACACCAAAGTGGTCATTTATTTAAGAATGAATCCAAGGCTGAACTTTTTCATTATGGAAAAAGAGGGACTAAACCTAGTACT